AACTTTTTTCATATTTTTTTCTATTATTATTTTTTCTTTACATAATGCAATTATTTTCAACATTATTTTCAAATTATTTTCAATATTATTAAATTTATCTGATAGATATACTTGTTCAACTTTTGTATCAAATAAACATTCCTGTGATCTAAAAATTCCCTAGACACAAAATCTCTTTTAAAAAATAAAGTTTTTCCTTGTATCTTGTGTATATATTCTTTTGCACAACTATATATTATTTTCTTTTATCCTATTCAATCTTCATCAAATTCATTTTTTCTTGTATTTTAAGAATTCTCTTTTATATTCAATATACAAAGATACAAGATTTCCTTTGGAAAATAACTTCTTTCATAACTTCTTATTTATAAATTTTAACACGTCATTGTTTTCCACACAGTGGAATTCTTCTTATTCCATTTAATCTTCATTAAATGAATTGTCCCATTAATTGAATGTTTTAAAAATTTTCCAAATATCAATTCTTCAAAGAAATACAAACATTTCTCATTATTCTTTTTTTTTTCACATCATCAATATCTCAGCAAACCAACCTTAAAATAAAATCTTTTCAAATCCTAAAAATTTTCTAAATATTAATTTCAGAAAAATTTAAATTTAAAAATTTTAATTATTCTTCTAATCAATTATTCATTCTTCTTTTTTCCATATAAAATAATTCTTAATTCTTACCTCTTAGATACCAATTTTATAAAAATCTTAAATCAGCTTTCTAATCAGAATAGCACCATTCATTTTCCTTTTTTCACATAAAATACCGTAAGAAATCACCCTAAAGCAAAATCTTTACATTTTTCAACTCTCTGACCTCAATTTTCAACAACCCAATCTATCGTCCCATAGAGATTACTAGTACTGCGAAAACGACACCCTCGCGGCTAGCAATTAACCCGAGCGCATTTCTTACGTAATTCTCCCAAACGTTCACTCCACTCCTTCGTGCACGAACAAACACATGTATAATATTTATAAAGTTCAGTGAGACGATGCGATTATAGGCCCATTGACGTCGTTGGCGCATCACGCGAGCCCATTTACCTACTTTTGCCTTGGCCACGCAACAAGCTCTTTTTCTCTTTCATATTGTACACATGTACATTTGTCTATAATATTTTATTTCTCAAAGATTTAACGACAATATCCTACTATTAACCGAAAATCTCATTCTGTTACTATATCATATAAAAAGCACATAAATATGTTCATTTTGTTGATTTTATGGTTTTTTTTTTTTTTTTTTTTTATCTCTTCCAGTAATTAACTGGGAGTGGTTCAATATTTCAAAGTTAAAAAGATGAACATGATAGGCTATCAAGGTTCATATCTTGAATCTAATAGCCATAGTTTTAATATTGCTCTTTAAAATGGTAAAAATTAAAAAAAGTAACTTAATAAGTTTTATTATTGCGTTTTTCTTATATGATCTAGAATAATATAAGATAAAGTAAAAAAATACCTTATTTTAAGATTAGCATACATTATTTGCAATGTTAAGTAGAATTCAAATCATTGACGTAGATATATGTCCTTATTTTTTTAGTTGATTTTTTCAATATTCATATATGAATGATAAAAATTGTAATATAATAACTGAGAAATTTAAGATTTGATTTTATTATACTATTATTACTTTTTCAATGAATAATTAGATAGATACTACTGTAGCCATTAATAATTTATAAATTATTTATTGTGATAGAAAATATAGACACATTGAAAATAGCACATTTTTAAAATATTCTAAATAAAAAAAAGAGAGAAAAAAATCGTGTTATTCAAAATTCAATTGACAACTATAGAATATACATTTATTTCTATCTATTACGATTTCTCTCCTTCTTTCCCTTTCCGTTCAAAAAGCCTTGTCACAGGATGTGAGAAAGCGGCTGGCACTACGCTAATTAAAATTCGCCACTTCTTCGAGCCTGCAGCCACGCAACACGCCCATTCCCCGCGAACGAATCGATGGAATCCTCGCTATTCCCGTCCTTGCCTGCGGTTTATCGCATTTCAATCGGATGAAAGGTGGAACACACTTCCCCTTCGCGGAGATTCCTTCACGGTGAAAGAGGTTTGATGGGATTGGATCGAGGTTTGATAATTTGACTCGAGATTCTGATAGGATTCTTGCTTGTAAAGGATGGGTTGCTCGTATAATGAAAACATGATTTCTGATTTAGAGAATTCTGTCTTTCATTAAGTTTTTTTTTTGTTCTTTTTGTATTTTTAATCTATTCATAATGTTTTGATAATTCAAAAATTATGTCTAAATGTTTGAATTTTATTATGAGAAAAAAACATTATGACGTAAATAAATGATAATTTCATACAATATTTGAAAAAAAGAATAATTTATCGATAATAAAATTGCATGAACGAAAATTGATATTGATCTTACATGAAAAATTTATGAAATTTTTAAACTGAATAAACTTCACGTTGAAACTTTTGAAAAATTACTGTGTTATCAATTTTAAGAAATTTGACTAATGAATGATATGCGAATGATTTTAAAGTAGAATATATAAACAATAATAACCTAACTCTGACAATAATTATAACAATTATAATAAAGAATATGAAATAAAAATATATGTAACGATAAAAATAAAAAAATGTAAAAACATTTCTTAACAATATCATCTAAATCAATGAAATATACTATATTTGATTAATAATCATGATTGATTATTCAAATTCATTCATTGAATTTAAAACGAAAAATAAAATGATAATCAATATTATGCTTCAATATAATTCACTGTACAAATATCTATAAAGTAAAAATCTAACCTAATCATGTAGATTAACCAAAAACATTTCTACCGCCATATTTGATCGGTAACAATCAGAAACATATTTATTTGATCTATAAGAAAAAAATAAATTCTACTACACTAATATTCAATTTCACAGTACAATATAAACGTCCAATTAATAATTTATATTTTTAACAATAAAAATCTAATCTAACCGTATTAACCAAAAATATTTCCACTATATTTGATTATCATAAACACAAATCTAAAATCTTTTTTAATCCAAAACAGACGTAGAATTCGTTCAAAACAGTTTCGTCAACACCGACAAAAGAAAACTTTTGTAATCAGTTCGTGCGGCCGTGTTAGTCTAATTAGTATTCCGCGACGATATCGTAAGACGCTTTAGGTAAAGGAAAGTTTAGCTTCCTTAACAACGCCGCCTCGAGGCTCCCGCATGAAATCTACAATTACCGACAGTGCACGGGCGCGAGCACGCTCGTGAACTCGTGTCAATCCTCGATGCACTTTATTGCACGCGATACAAAGGGCAAAAGCGTAATAAGGTAAAGTATACAGTTTAATTAGGATCCTGTGCTGGCGCGGGTTCCCATTAAGCCATTTGCATGTAAACCATTCATCGTGGAGTAGCCTCTCTAATAGTAACGTAATTTCGAGTGTGGCAAATAAATATCCGTGGGAACATCGACTTGGTCTGTTTGTCGCGAATAAAACAAATGAGTTTTCATATAAAGTTTTACCATATATTTTTGTTTCGTTTTCTTTTGGTTGCTTATTCATGGTTTATGTTCAAAGTTTGAAAGCGTATTACTTTATTGCTCTATTGAAAATTCGCGACCAAGAAACGATCGTTATTTTTTATTGAAATTTTTATTATAGTTAAGTTAATTTGAAATATGAATTCATTTTCATGAATCATCGAATAAGAATTTTTTAAATAAAGATTTTTTAATTAATTACATATCATTGACACTAAAAAATTTTAAATTTGAATAATAAAGATTTATTAAAAGCGCCTAGTGTAAAATAATTCCAAAACAATTCATAAAATTCTACGAAGCTAGAATTTATTATCCTAGAATCATCTCCTGATTTAAAGATAATTTGAAACGCTATGTTATGAAAATTTAGCTATCCGCCTGTGAAATTTACTGCAACAGTCAAAACTCATACTTTTAAACAATAAAAATAAAAAATTTCAACTTATTTCATTTAGAATAAAATATCATTTGTATATTTTTTATTTACATTGAATTTTTATAATTTACGTTATTATAAACTTTTAATATCGAATAAAATTTTAAAATATATTTTTAATATCGTTAAATTTATGCTATTTAATAATTTATAGTTCTATTTAATAATTCTTTTATTCGTTATAAAATATTTTTGATTGTATTTACATATGATAATTGCTCGCTATTTCAATAGTACATAGAAGATATTATGGTGTTTAGTATAACAAGGAACACAGTGTACAAGAGAACAATATTGCATCGCAACATAACAAAACAATTACATAAGATAATATGGAACAAGTTATGTATGGAGCAAGAACCGGAAATTTAATGTCTGTGCTGATGATACGGAACGTGGATTTCATACAGTGAAACCCTATCTATGTAACTTTCAATGCGATGTTTAACCAATATTTTTTCTTACACGACTATAAAAATTCTCAATGTTTGTAACTTTTTAAAAATTGATATACATGGATAATCAAAATTGTAATGATAATAAATTAGATTTTAATTGAATAAATATTAAGATTTTAATTTCTATATTGAATAATAAAAAAAGATTAATCCTTCTTTATATTAACTTAAACTAACAAAAGCTAACCTCCAAGTTGAACTAAAGATTAGATATCGAGAATAATAGAACTTTTATATGAATTGCTTCCTGAAAGTTGCAGAAGGCTATAAATAAACGTAAGTTCATCTAAAAGCAAACACATACGACGCTTAAATCGACGAAGAACCTCATTGGAAAGATAGTGTATACGCAAATAGTAGTTCCGGTAATAACAGTACTGCCAGTCAAGTATCACAGGTGCTATTCGCTCGTAGTAAAGGTAGGTTAGTATTTACACGATGTGAAAAGAAAAACATGGCGAAAGAAAGAGACAAATAAATAATATGAATAACATTTCTAAATACATATAATTATCTATACGGGAAATAATGATACATCACTTACCTTCTCTCGCTTTGAGATACACAGTGTTTGCTACAATGTTCTCCAACTCCATCAATTCCAGCTTGATCGAGTTTATGCGGCCGAATCAACGGGGAGAAACCTGGTGAGCGACGAGCAAGAAGGGGAAGAGTGTAGGCCTCGAGCGGAAGTTGGAACGGCTGATGTCGTTTTACGGGGTTGATCACCCTGTCGGGCTCCAGTAGACCAGCTCCCATCTGCGGCCCCAGGACACCACCAGGGCCGATCAGTCCCCCTTCACCGAGGACCAAGGACAACAGGAAGGACGCCGACAAGCTGTTGGACGGCTTGATCGACTCAACTCGAGTTTGAGGTTCGAGGTTGTCCGGCGTAAGTCCCGCCGTTTCGCGCTGACACCGTAGGAACCACCTATCGAGTCGAACTCGAGTTCGTTGGCCCCCTCTGTCGGTCAAAAGCCGACGTTTCCCGCGCGCCACGGGATATATGTATAGCAAGCACGCAAACGAGTTACACGAAACCGGACTTTTCACTTGTCACACTTTATCTTGATTTCCTTGATCCACGGTAATCCCAGGGTCAAGGAGCAGGTTTCTCGAAAAACACTTGTGCCAGCGAACTTCTTCCGTATCAATGGTGAATCGTTGCATTTACGTGTGTTCGCACCGTAATTCTCTCTGATCCACAAAAAAGAAACGTATTAAATGAAGCTTCATGGAGATGCGGCAATCGGTAAGTCGTTACGGAACCAAACAATCAGAATGCTCAGCGCTCGTCTTGTTTTATATGTTGTGTAACCTTTCTATCTTACTCTTTTTCTTATCCCGTGACTGAAGATGATACACAATTGTAACACGCATTCACGTTAAGAGAAGAAAGACTATAATTGTAATCACAAATGTCGTTATGATTCGTCGTTATTCGTGTACTTCTTTCTTTGAATTGACAATACTTCGTGTTGTCCTCTTTAAATAGCAGAGGAGATCGTGCACAAGACACGCTAACGATTGCTTCCAATAATCGTTACCACAGCAGGTCCTAGTGACACGTTAGCATGCCATCATAAAAATGTCACGTGTGTTCTGCGGATTCACGTACAAACACGACACTCGTATGCACATAGCAAGGCGCCTTTCACTTTAACGACGGCGCGGGAGATGCCTGCGCATCCGCTAGATTCCTCTTTACAGATCGTGTCTTCGATCGTCGATTCGTGAATGTCGAAAGACTGATCACCCACAGATTTCTTCCTTTCTCTCCATTGAATCTCACAGTGGTATTACCGGTATCGAAGTACAATGGAATACAGAAAAACCGTTGTAATTCCGTGTATTCGAAACACGAATTTAATCTTCGCTCTAGCAAACGGATCGAGATTTTATGTTCTGTATACAAGGTGCTTTTGACGAATACCTTTCTATTTGTAAATTTCCAGTTTCCTTTCGTGTGAATGCCGCTCCGTGAAGCGTTTAATGTATTCCTCTTTACATCGATCCCTGATGTACATTCTAAAATGAGATTTCAGATTGGCCGTTATTAGTGTGAAAGGATTTGCGGGCGTTCACAGTGGCGTAGCCAACAACATTATTACAAAATTAGAAATTTTTATTAATCTATAACATGAATTGAATCTTAAGAATAATAATCCTCATTCCTGCCGAAATATTCCTAACCTCTCAAACAGACATGGCCGACTGTATACGATGATCAAAAGATGATTACTATTTAAAATGTTTGCTACGCCACTGCTTCCTTGCGACGGGAATGAGAGGATATCTCGATCGTCTGCGCCGGTCGTTCGTTTCTTTGCGTGGCGTGAGTGAATTTTAAAAAATCACCATGCTCCTCGCGCCTCTGCCGATTTATCTACAACGCGCAACAGACACACGCACTTATCGTTGCGCGTTCTGCATGCGAAACTATAGGCGCGCACATGTGCGTGAACACTTTGCGCAGCAGGTGCGCTACGGGGATAAAGATAACGACGAGACTAACCGCATCGTCGGCGTAATATCCAACGCGGTAATCTAATAACTTTTTCCAGAGCTCGATTCCTACCGATCATCTCTCTCATCCTTTCTCTTTACACGTCTCTTTTGTACATCACGATGATAGAAATATGTAAGTACATGGAGAAGGAAATATTTAAATCGAGGATATAATAGACATTTTTCTTATACAAGAATTTAATCTTAGGATATAAATGTTCAGAATTTTTACGATTGAAAAATCTTTTATTTATTGTACATGATATTTTTAATCATCGATTGTTAATCACAACATTGAAGAGATAAAATATCAAAAAAATATGCGATATTAAAAATGTAAAAATATAGAATATAAAGATTCTAATAAAAACAAACTTCATTATCATATCCTGTATATCCCCACACTACTTGATATAACCCCGTCACGATCATAGTTATCGAATGTAGTTCCAGTGGAATTAGATTCAAACTAGATGGATTCTCATCAAAGTGGCTCTTATGGCTTGCTGCATTACACCGGTAAATCCTATTAAACTGCAACAGCTAACGAATGGGTAACCCGACACGGACTCTAAATTAAGTAACAGGCGAAAAAAGGGGGAAGTGGGGGATAGGCAGAAGGTGGCGGCGGAAGAGGAACGACGAAGATCGTTAAAGGTTTTAAACGCTTTTTCTCGATGACGCGATTCCGGTACCATAGAACCGGATTAGGAAGCGGTAAGCAATGATGATAACGAAGAAAAAAAACACTAATAATAATAATATCATTGTGAGAGAAATAACGATAATCAGTTTCCTGATTTTCCTATCTTTTTTGATTAGTTAAAATTTTTTTCTTCCTTTCTTTATTTTTTTTTAATTTATTATTAAAATCTATTATTATTACTATTAATCAATAATCAATGAATTTCAGACAAATCAATATAATATCTGTATACATATAGTATATTTCTTAAAAATAACACAATTACCAATAACATTTTAATTAGAATCAAATTCTAATACTAAATGGTGAATCGACAATTTGATTATTTGAATTAGATATAATATTAATATCCCTTTCCTATAAATGATGTCACATGTCCTATATCACACAACTACCCAATGCAGGTGTCTCAGAAAAAACTTCGATCGCATTAATCATCGAACAGATTATTCTTGCTTGATCGTTTGAACGACGAAGAATGAAACTGGTATTTCTAACCGTGAAACGTAGAAATTGCCCACGCATTTCATAAATAATAAGTTTTCTCTATTTCGAATTTTATATATCCTTCCAAAACGATATATTCACATAACGTTTTACTTCTCCATCACTCTCCTTTACTAACTATTGAAACAATCATCGTTGTGTTAAAAGAAAATAAAATACTTGTTGTCATGTATGGTTAGATATAGTTATGAATATGAGAAAGAAAGCTACGAAGGGATATTTGTTTTCTGTCGATTGATTCGCAGGGGATATATATGTGGAAATAGAAACTGCCAATAATCGATCAATCGTGGTGGGCACCGTTGTACATATATATATACATATACGTATATATGTCTCTTTCATATACGTGGGAAACATTGATATCTGTTAAAAACATCTACGACGTGTCAGTAATGCGTTTTATACGTAACGATTATACCATAGACATAACACAGGAAACTAAGGAAAGCAAAAAGAGCAACGAGAAAAGAGAAAATTGAGAAAGAGAAAATTCAAAAAAGACTAATAAGAAATCTTTGAAGAGAAAAATAAGGAAAGAATAAATAAGAAATTTACAAAAAAAAAAAAATATATAAACAATTTGAAAGGATAAAAAAGATAGAAAAAAGTTACCAACAACGTAACAAAAATATCAATGGTAGATACACAGAAAATATACAATTATAGAAACAAAGGTTTTTTCAAGTGTAAATTTAATCTCTTATCGCGCATGTATATTTAAAAATCAGAAAATGAAAAAACACACGTTTCTTTAATTAAAACGAAATTTAATTGTATTTAAGAAAGAAAAACAATAATTATGTCACTGATTTATATCTATATATTTTTTTATGTTCGAATTACAAATAATATAATAATATATAAAAAAATGATTTAATGGAAAATTTTAATCGCGAATTACCATTGTCAAGATGCAAATTGTTTACCTATATTTGATGGTTGCTTGCGTCAGAGAATTTGCAGAAATAAATAGCGAACAATGCAACACTATCGATACGTTCCAGACAAGAATCTTATATATCTAGCCATTGGAAAGATAACAATAAAGTAACAATTTTAATGTTTTTTTTTCCCAAGAACAAGTGAATTTTCACAATATCCTTGTTTTAAGACGAAAAAAAAAGGAACAATTGGAGACGAGATGCGATGAAAAAGCACGCGGCAATGTAACAACGCGAGAAGGCGCGGAAAGCTCGTAACTCGCCAATGAAAGGGGCGATTGAATAAGAGACAATGAACATCGATGGCAGCGCGGGCGAGTTCATTGAAAGGGAGATGGAACTTTTGCCCGCGAATCGAGACGTATTGTAGAATGGCAGACACATGTTTTCCCAGTGCACAAAATGCCTCTTGTGCGCGTGCATCAAATTGAAGAATCAAATAGGGAGAAACAGAGGGGGCTCTTTGTCCGTCGCAGACTGAAAACACTTTCCGTCGCCGCACTTCGAGCGAACAACTTAATTTGACACTGTCGGTATTACTACTGTATGTTTTTCTTCCTTTTCTATCTCTCTTTCATTGTTGTTCCACTCACGAGAGAATAATAAAGACCGAAGAGTTTGATGATATTAATGACAAAATAAATAATGAGATGGATTTAATGCATAACGATCAAGGAAGTAAGAATAGGTCGTTGATTATAAACTTGGAAATATTTATAGACGATAAGAAATATTCCAGATGACACACAAAAGCCCGCCTAAATATTCTCGTGATTGAAACGTGACTTTAGTACGAACAATCACGAGATGCCGGCTTTCAAAATCTGTCACACGAGGTAACACATGCAGAACGGTATATAAAATCTCGGAATAGACGAATTTATGACAAAAATATAGCATACAATGTGCACATGGGTGCGTGATGTACAATTAAAATTTTCGTGAATACGAAAAAGGGAAAAGAAGAAAGTAGAGAAGAAGAAAGATGGGAATGAGAGACGCCGTTACCGACGGAGCGTATCGTGTCTCGCACGTCATGGGCACGAGTCAGTACAATATCATTTCGCGAAACACGAGACGGGCGAAAACGATCTTACGATGTTTTTCATGGGGATAGGCCGGTTGAGCGAAGAAGAAAGACACGTATGGTTTTGGTACACCCGATATAATGTAACACACACCGATAGCAGAGCACCGTGCGGTCGTAACGGCGACACGAAGAAAGCGCAATGGCCGACCGCTGCACCTCTGCTGGTAGCTTCGATCCTTCCTGGCCACGAGGACTTCGTACACACTTGATCGTTCAGGGATCGACACGCGCGCACGATACGCCTTCTCCGAGTCCCTGAGACCGTTAAGATCCGTAGATGTTTTTTTTCCGTTTCACGAACGCAGCCAGGGACGGTTCGTACTGTCCGATCGTATGAACCCGCTGCCACTCGCACCAGACCGCCACGCACCGTCCCGTCCGCTGGATAAAAACCGACTGACTGGCATGCTCCTTCTCGAGCCGCGATGCACCGCCACGGATGAGAAGGTTAGGTGGAGGGGACATGGTTGGGCACCGAGGACGACGCCTCCACCCGGCGGAGGTGTGACAGAGACGCAGATAGACGCGCGGACGACTCCGATTGGGCGTGGTAGAGTCCCTAGGCTCGTCTTCGAATACCGACTGCGGG